CACGTGCAGTTACATGGTAAAAAACTTACGTTCTACTTCTTTCCAGTTTACCACATAATTTTATTTTCTTAATTTTGATGCATGATATTGGTACATCTATGTAGAGTGAAATTGTCAAACCAATATTTAAAACTACATACTAAATTGCTATGTTTTAGGAGAAGAAAATTTATATAACGAAGGCAAGTTGATACTATACAAGCAGGATGCACCTAAAAAATCCGTTAGAAAAGAGTGATATGAAGTTGTGAAATTTTCCAGTTGATTATCTCAACCTCGTGAAATATGAATATAAAAAAAAAAAAAATTCAAATCTTAAAAATAATGCATTTTGTAATAAGTTATTTGTCTATTTTCAAGCTTTTTTAAATATTTATAGATCTACTCGACCTGCAACAATAAGTGGAATTTTAAATTTCATAATTAAAATTGAAAATATATTTTCTAACCATAATAAGTTTCTGACACTAGAACTACATCTTCCAAAAACACCTTTAAATGTGCTTTTTTTTTTGTATAGCATAAGCTAGGTACCTTATATAAACCTTACCCTTTATGAGAGCTTGCTAGAACTATGGACAGGAATTGGTTGAAAATATGGTACCACACCACTCAAGCAAAAAATGTCCCTGTCTTAATGGTACTCCACTTTAAGGAAATAAAACTTTTAGCCATAATTTCCATATTTGTTGCATAAAACATGCAGAAATTCTCTTGCTAATATTTCTCCTCTAACTATACGGTACGAGGGGACAAGACCAGCAATGGGCTGGGCCAGGCTTAGCCTTGCCAGGCCCTTGTTCTCACAAGGCCGGCCCAGCCCAGACTAGGTCAAAGGGGATCTGTCCCAGCCCTAGCCCTATAGTCAAGGGTGTGGGGTCAAGTGCACTAATCGTAACTTGAGTTAGGACCATTGGGCTCGTAGTGGGAGAATCCTTTATAGAAGATAGTACTAGAACTCTCAACTGACATATGATGAGGACCCTATGTACATAGAGAACAAAGGGCATGTAGGGAGACCAATCTGATTCTTATCTTCGTTTTTTTTTTTTTAATGTACTAATGCAAGGACAAAAAATTATATAAGGGTGAGGCTGTAAACAATCAAATTAAAGGCGCACTTCATATATTCACTAGAAGAGAATATTTCGATGCTAAAAAACCCTCAATATGATCATCTCGACCTCTAGATATATGGACACGAGAAAAAATAGCATTCAAGTTTTGGAAATAATTCATCTTGTAATGTATTACTTAGACCGTAAATTTTCAAGATTTTCGAGTGTTCATAGGTCTTTTCGATCTACACTATTTTGTAATCTTTAAATTTATAATTCAAGATGAAAACAAATTTTAAAGCCATCATAAAGATTTCTAATACTGAAATGAGATGTTTCAACATTATTTGAAGATGCTCCTTGTTTTGATTGTTTAGGGCCTCAGCCTTATACAAACCACAACGTTAATACAATGAGCATGGACACTCTCAAACCCATCGTGATTCAGAGAAAAAAATAAAATAAAAGAAAAACTTTGTGCCTGTTTTGAATAATCTGGGGGATTCTCCAATCGAGATCCATCCGACATTGAGAACCGTAGGACCAATTCTACTCGGCCGATTCCAAGTTAGGGACAATCCGACTCGACCGATTCCATGTTAGCCCTTCACTGGTCAAGAGCAAGTAGTAGTGTATTGGGCCCATTTCACCCCAACAAGGGTCTTCCTCTTAAGGCTCTAAAGGTTTCAGCACCTTTTGGTTTGGAACCTTTTCCTTTACTTCTTCTTGTCGCTGCCGACCATATTCACATATTCACAACTTTCTCAACAAAGAATAACTTCTTTGCTGAGTTCCCATTCCCTTCTCTTTAAGATTTATGGCACTTTCCTCCTCTCCTATTAAAAGGCTTCCACTATCACCTCTTTAGCCCGTAAGTTTCTATATGCCAAGTTCTCTGTGATCTCCTACAGAACAGCACAAATCTTGCTTTCATCAACCTTGATTAACATTTTCTTGAAGTCATTCATATTCCGAAGAGATCAAGAGGAAAATGGCTAAGTTGACATTGATTAGAAGAGTAAGTGATGGGTTGCCTCTGGCACAAAGTTTCCCCCCTTCAAAAGAAGAGAAGGATGGCTTGTTGTTTTACAGAGAGCAAGGAGATTTGGTCATGGCTGAGATATCGAGAAGAGCTCCAGAAGCCTCCAGAATGTCGATTCGTATCGATCACCACTGCTTTAAGTATCCTTTTTTGAAAATTTTCTTTCCCTCTTTTCTTGATACCATTTTCTTTAATTTTCTCAGTGATTTTGTTTTATTGATTTTCTTCCAACGTTATTTCCTTTTGTGAAGAACATATGGTTCAAACTTACCATTGTTTTGAAACACTTTTTCCTCTCCATGAGGCATGTTTCCTTTGCAGTTGATAGGGAACAACACAATGAATTATGAAATGTCTTTAGCAGAGACATCTATCGATTTTGAGAAACAATGATATAGAAGTAGTTTAGTTTTTTAACAGATTTTTTACTGTTAGTTTAATGATGGGATGTTCAATTAAATGATTCCCATGTTACTTATTTCATAACTTAGCAAACCCATAGTATATACAAGAAGCATATTTAATGGACACATTATTGCCATCATCATAGAATTTTTTCAATTAATTGGGTCGGCTATCCATTGGATACATATAATTTTTTTTTTTACTTTTGGTTTTTTTTTTAGTTTTAACTAATGAAATTTATATTTGTATTATTTTTACTTATTGAAAATTTTGACTAATGAAGTTTAGATCTTAATATTTTATTTTCACTTGCTATGGCTCTTTACAAATATTTTGGTAAAAAATAATTGCTTGTGTTTTTATTGGGTTCCTTAATTTATTTGGAGTTTTATTATAGAAGATGGAGTATGTTACATGGCTCTATTTGATGCTTATTACCCTAGAAAGCTGGCTTTTCACTACTTGGAGGACCTGCACAGGGATTGCCACAATTCTTATGGCCCTGTCATGCATACTATTGCCAACCCTCATGCTTTGTCCAGAATTGGTAAGTTTTTTTATTCGAAGATAAAGATTTTTTGCGTCAAATGTTTTTTACTAATTGATCATCTCGACTTTGACAATCTATATTAGAAAACAAATAAAAAATAGATTTCTAACCTCAAAAACTGTGTATTTTTAACACATTTTTTGGCCATCCAATTTAGTTATTCACAAATCAATTATATCTATATTATTTTTGGAGCAACAAGCTCTGGAGCTAGGAGCAAAAATAGACTTACAAGCTATTACATGAGTTTTTGACACCTTAGCTTATATTTTTGGGTGCGGTGGGGTTTTGAGGTGTGGCTTTAGTAAATAATATAAAATAATATAAAGTTGTGGCCCTATCAAAAGTGCACCCTTTATTCAAGGAGAAAAATCAATAATTGCATTATTGAATTGTGGCCATTAGATGACCAAAACACCCTTCCTTATTGCTTTGGCTATTTTAGTCATTTAAGCAAGATTTTAGAAAAAATGGTCGTTCCATAGAAATAAGGACCAAAACATTGTAACATACCTGAGCTTCATATAATATATGCGAAAAAAATTTATATAAGGTTGCACTTTTATTTATAAAAGCTGCTATAAAATATATCATTCATTTTATTTAAATGGTGTAGATTGAGTATCATTTTAAAAGACATGCTACATTATAAAATACGTCTCAAATCTACATTATCCAATAAAAATAGATAGTGTAGAACATCACAACTTTATTTCTATAAGTAAAGTTACCACCTTATATAAACTGGACCCAATATATAAGGTTAGGTAAAACCGGTTTATATAGGTAAACTGCATGAAATTGCAGTTACAAAAAGTTTCTCAAATGATGGTCATTATATTTGGAGAAGTGCTCACTTAAAAATAATTAATCATCATCGTCAAATCCTTTTTCCAACTAATTGGGCTCAGCTACAAGAATTCTAGTGAAGAATTTTGCTCTATCGAAGGTCATACCCTCAGTGAAGCCATAACATATCTATACCCCAGTATTAACAAAAACTACAAGCTCATGATTCATGATAAGTTTAGGCCAAGTTTTACGTTGGTTGCATACCTAACACAATCCAACTCCTTTACCCAGGCAGGGGCAGGTTAAAGTAAAATTTAAAATCCTCACCCTACTTAGACCAACTTAAAAAATAACTATCATATTTCTTAGCTATTTCCCATTTTTTCTTATTTACCCAATTTCTTTTTAGACCAACTTAAAAATAATCTTAACTATTTCCCTTTTTTTCTTATTTACCCAATTTCTTCTATATTCTCTTTCTTTACTCATATTGCATTTAAGAAGATATGCATATATAGAGAGAGAGGGTTTTAATCTTCTAACCTTGTTTATTGCAGAATTCATCATTAACGGGATCAGGAAACTTTACTTGGATACAAGGACTCAAGCCAACCTCGCAAAGCTAAAAGCAGGGGGTGGACAAATTCAAGAAATCCCTACACAAGATATCTCTGACTTCCTCTTTAGCCAAAAGGAATCAGGTATTCCCTCTTTTGTAAGAGAGAGAGAGAGAGAGAGAGATTGCCTTGCTTTTGAGGGTGGCAATGACCCGGACCTGACCAGGGACCAACGTCCACAATTGGGAGTAGCAAGTCGGATTTGGACTCGGACATGGGTTCGGATCCATGTGGACACGACCCGAATTCTGTTATTAAATAAATAATATTTAATATATATATATATATATATATAAATATTTAAATAAATATA